TTTTTGACGGAATTGTGGCCTTTTCAATTTTAAACGGGAACCAGATTACACTTGCAGGTAGGGGACTAGTATTGCTAATGCAAAACTCTTACAATGCTTGTTACTATTAGCATGTAAGGGTTGCATGTGTCATAACTTATGACCTTGAATTTTGGTAAGAGTTATCTCCCTCTGTTTTTAATTAATAGAAAAAAATCTATAAAAAGCTTATTTTTTTTAATTTTTAGAAAACTTATTTGTTAATTTTTTTTAATTGTTATTCTATTGCTAATGGTTTAATTTGGTCCTATTAGGGATGGAAAACCTTAAGGGTGAGAACGAAATAAAAGTATATTATAAACATCAGTGGCAAGTATCCTAAGGAATTGATGTTAAGTTCTGGGTGTAGTAAATCTGAAGAAGATTGAGATACTTGGTTCTTATCTATTCAGTGGGAACCTAGGGGAGAAACACGGTGCAAATAATACCTTAACCAGTCCCCGTCTCTTGCTAAGAGAAAATTTAAGTATTGTGTGATATGCCCTCAGACAGAGCTGTCTTAATAATCATTCCAATCATTAACTCGGACAGAGTAAAAGGAAAACCTATATATCCCTTGAAAGAACCTGATCAAGAACAACTAAGCCACTATTAGCCATATTTTTACAGAAGAAACCTTAGGTATTATAGAATCAAGTATGTTCAAATCATGACCTCAAGGGGTTGGAGGTACAGCAGAGGATCAAAGTTTTGCATAAGAATATATAGGAATCATTTTAGAAATTAGAAATATGTCCATAGGACATGAATGCCCCGCCGAGGGTATATTAGTAATGCAACATGAAAATTTGTATTAGTGTATGCAATTTGATGAGAATATCTTGAAAAGTTTCTTTAAAATTGAAATTAAAATCTAAAAAGTTGGATACCGATGATAAATTCTCACCAAATTATGTATAAGTGCATAAGCTTACATAAATATGTCTTAAATGGTTTCTTTAAAATTAAGCATAATGCAAATTTAAGAAAAGTGAGGTCAAGGTCACATGACACTTCAAAGTCAAACGTTTTTGATGCAGTTGAATAGTTCTCACAAATGCATATCAGCATATTAAGTTTGATAAAAATATTTTGAATGGTTTATTTAAAACTGAACTAAACATTAGTTTAAAATAATTGAAGATAAGGTCAAAGGAAATGTCAAGGTCAAAAAACATTGATGCAGTTGAAAAGGTTACATCAGTATGTATAAGCATATGAAGTTTGATAAAAATATTATGAATGGTTTCTTTAAAACTGAATTAAACACCAATTGAGAAAAGTGAGGTCAAGGTCAAAGGAAAGGTCATGGTCAAAAAAATATTGATGCAGTTGAATAGCTTACATCAGAATGTATCAGCATATGACGTTTGACACTGATTAAAGAAAAGTGAGGTCAAGGTCAAAGGAAAGGTCAAGGTAAAAAAAAATGTTGATGCTGTTGAATAGCTCTCATCAGTATGTATCAGCATATGAAGTTTGATAACACTATATTGAATGGTTTCTTTAAAACTGAGCTTAACACTAATTTAAGAAAAGTGAGGTCAAGGTCAAAGGAAAGGTCAAGGTCAAAAAATATTGATGCAGTTGAATAGCTCTCATCAGTATGCATCAGCATATGAAGTTTTATAAAAATATTTTGAATGATTTCATTAAAACTTAGCTAAACACTAATTTAAGAAAAGTTAGGTCAAGGTCAAAAAATATTGATGCAGTTGAATAGCTTATATCAGTATGTATCCACATATGATGTTTGATTACACTACCTTGAATGGTATCTTTAAAACTGAGCTAAACACTTATTTAAGAAAAGTGAGTTCAAGGTCAAAGGAAAGGTCAAGGTCAAAAAATGTTGATGCAGTTGCATAGCCCTCTACAATATCTATCAGCATATGAAGTTTTATAAAAAATATTTTGAATGATTTCATTAAAACTTAGCTAAACACTAATTTAAGAAAAGTTAGGTCAAGGTCAAAAAATATTGATGCAGTTGAATAGCTTATATCAGTATGTATCCACATATGATGTTTGATTACACTACCTTGAATGGTATCTTTAAAACTGAGCTAAACACTTATTTAAGAAAAGTGAGTTCAAGGTCAAAGGAAAGGTCAAGGTCAAAAAATGTTGATGCAGTTGCATAGCCCTCTACAATATCTATCAGCATATGAAATTTGATAAAAAATATCTTGTATAGTTTCTGAGAAACTGAGCTTTGAACAGAGATAAACGCAAAGTGTGACGGAAGGACAGACGGAAGGACAGAAGGACGGAAGACGGACATGACAAACACTATATGCCCCGGCCATATTCATGGTGGGGCATAAAAATCTACAGGTCAAGAATAGGAAAGTCCTGATTAGTCATTTTATTACAGAAGCATCCTCAGGTAGCGTAGATTCAAATTTGTTCAAATTCATGGTGGGTAGGGTTAATGGGCCATAATCAGAAATCAAAGTCTTACATAGAAAAATATAGGGGAAAAATCTTTAAAATTTTTCTGTTTAAAAACAGCAATGCCATGTTGATAAGGAAGCATCCAGAGGTAGTGTAAATTAAATTTTGCCCCCCGTTCAATACTGAACCGATTTCTGCTTCTTCCTAGCCAATGTGCTCAGGTGAGCGATGTGGCAATTGGGCCTCATTTTATTATTAGTCCCCTACCGGTGAAACCGGAGGGGACTATAGGTTTCCTCTGAGTCTGTCCGTCAGTCTGTCTGTCTGTCCTTCCATCTGTCTGTCTGTCCCTCTGTCTGTTTGTCGGTCTGTCCCACTTGGTTTTCCGCACCTTTTTTCTAAACGCTTGTAGATATTGGGCTGATTTTTTGTATGTGAGTGTATCTTGATGAGTTACAGATCAAGTTTGAATTTCGTTTCGCTTCAATGATTTTTGACGGAATTATGGCATTTTCAATTTTTAACGGGAACCAGATTACATTTGCCGGTAGTGGACTAGTATTGCTAATGCAATACTCTGAGAATGCTTGTTTTTTTTTTGGACATTGATCACTGTTTGTTATCTTCATTTTTTTAGTCCCCTACCGGTGGAACCGGAGGGGACTATAAATTTCCTCTGAGTCTGCCCGTCCGTCTGTTTAGCTGTCTGTCTGTCCCACTTAGTTTTCCGCACTCTTTTCTAAAAGCTTGCAGATATTGAGCTGATTTTTGTTGTGTAAGTGTATCTTGATGAGCTACAGACCAAGTTTGTATTTCGTTCCGCTTCAATGATTTTTGACGGAATTACGACGTTTTCAATTTTTCACTGTTTTCCGCAATTTTTTTCTAAACGCTTGCAGATATTGCGCCGAGTTTTGTAATGTAACTTTACCTTGATGAGTTATAGATCAACTTTGCATTTCGTTCCGCTTCATTGATTTTTAACGGAATTGTGGCCTTTTCAATTTTTAACGAGAACCAGATTACACTTGCTGGTAGGGGACTAGTATTGCTAATGCAATACTCTCAGAATGCTTGTAATTTTTAGGATTGGTTTGAAAAAAAAATCCTTATTCAGTATCAGAGTATTTCGATGCTGCAAACAAAATAGGAAAATACATGTTATTTCTAGATCGGTTGTTAATTATTAAAGAGTACAGCAAAAAATCTCCTTAGAAATTAACAAATTTCAAGCGCAATAATAGCGTGAAATATTAGACAGGCATCAATCCCTGTTTTCCATAGGTAAATGAAATATGGAGATAACGAACAGTATTTAAGCTTAAAGTCCATTTAAACAATACAAATCGGGAGAAGAGCAAATACGGACCTCCAAAATTAAAAACATAAGACGTGGGATCAGGTGCCATCAAGGAATGAGCATCCCCTGGCGACCTGTCAAACCAGCCGTGTGCTACTTGTCATGATCGAGAAAAACAGGAAAAATCGTAAACAATTCAGTTTGTAAAAAGTGTCCTTACAAAAACGTCAGTCAGCATTCGATTAAATGATAGGTTGTATTTGATGACAAGGTCATTGCATCGACCATAAAACTTGCAAAATGATGGCTTCAAACGGGACTCTTGATATCCTTGTTTCATCAAATTGTTTGATAATAGCTTGCCTCGTTTTAGAAATTGTTTATAAGTAAAGCATACTCTTGCGTATCGAATCAACTGGGAGACAAAAGCCCTATATGCAGACGAAAAGGTATATTGCTACATAAGTAAGGGAAGTTAACAATAGAAAAATTGATGACATCAATTTTATCATAAAGCTTTGTTGTTAGGTTACCATTAAAGTCTTTTTTCGTAAAATATTCAAATATGAAACAGATGTGTCAGACTCTGTGAGATCTTTTATTTCAAGCTCACTGGGATATATTGAGTCGACATTTGAATGGAAGTACCATTGTTAATTGATAATACATCGTCGATATATCTAAATGTCGATTTGAAGGCCACAGCAAGTGTTTTCTTCTCGTGCAGAAGTTTTTGAACAAATTCTGCTTCATATGATTGCAAATGACCAATGACATAAGTAAATATATACGAGTTCTATTTTTATTTAAAAAGCAGCTGTCTATGATGTCAAAAAGCCTGGACTTTAAATAATCATGGGGAAGTTTTGTATAAAGTGTTGAAATGTCGTATGTTTTGATGTTATTGATTTGGTAAAATTTTGATTTTATGATTCCAAATTTTCTAAAAGTTCCTTGGAGTTTTTAAGTATCCTGGTCTCATTTACACCACTTGTCGAATATATATTTGTATACAGTAACAGAAAAAGAATTTGGAAATGATTGTATAATTATTATCATTATATCTTTAACTAAATGAATTTCCTTTGAAGCGCAAAGGCTAACCTAAATTTATTCTGATCTAATGAATGCATAAATTTCGATTCAAAAACAAAAAAGTTAAAATCTAGGCCTCTAATTCAGAAAAGATAATTTCATTTTAATCAGCTAAGTATTGGAGCAGTCTTTTTTATAAAAAGCTTTTATATCTCATAACCTAATATTTCGTTTTTTCAGATGGAATTGAATGCCGGGGAAGTTCTCCTATGGAAGCTGGGATCCTTTTATCTACATCATGTTTTCTCCAAAAAAGAGGTAAGAAATCTGTTTCATACTCACTCTCTCTCTCTCTCTCTTACACACACACACACACACACACACACACAAACACACCCTCACACAAACACACACACACACACACACACACACACACACATTCCTGAAAGAGAAGATGATTGCCAAAAAATTAATTACTATACACTTTAATTATGTTTTGTTAAAATTGTTTAACCGAAGGCCAGATATTCAAATGAAAAATACTTTCAAATCTTCACATATAGGCTGAGATCTATCACATACCAAAGATACAAATTCACAGTGATATATGAACTTTCATGATGAAATCCTAGGCCTGGCTTTAATTAAGGATATCTTTCTTACAGCGATTGTCCACTTTAACGTATTTGTCGGTAATGTTGCGCCTTCAAGATTGATTGTGATTACAGATGGTTGCCCTACTGACCCGACAGATATCAATAGGCCAGAACCCTCCATAGCCTTTGTAGACCCATTCAGTATGGTACGATGTTTTAGGAATGTACCCTATGTATATTCTGATAACGGTTTGGCACCTGAGTATCCAAAAAAACTCATTTTAATTTACTTCTTCTCATGTTAATTATTTACGATGTAATTTGCGACTTTCAAAGTATTGAACAAATCTTTCTTTTTTTTCAATATTACAGAGTTCATTTAATTTATACCTTTGACATGTTAACCAATTACTGCACAGTTCTTTCGTAGAAATGTAGAAAAACTATTTTTACTTGTCCCAACATCCCTTAGATTTCAATCTTTTAATCCCTATTGCAAGTACATTTTTCTTATGCTCTAATGCTAATTTCATTAATTTACTCATGTTTTTTTTTTTATTCATGTACATTTTTATTTAAATATGTAATGGTTTTATTGTTCTACTTTTTAGTTCACCCGAGCCGAAGGCTCAAGTGAGCTTTTCTGATCGAAATTTGTCCGTTGTCTGTCGTCGTTGTTGTTGTCGTTGTCGTCGTTCGTTGTCATAAACTTTTCACATTTTCATCTTCTTCTCCAGAACTACTTTGCCAATATCAACCAAACTTGGCACAGAATATCCTTGGGTGAAGGGGATTCAATTTTTTTCAAATGAAGGGTCACGCCCACCTCCAAGAGGAGATAATTACGAAATAGCGAAAAATGAATGGTATCATTGAAAAATCTTCTTCTCAAGAACAATAGGCCAGGAAAGATGAAACTCAACTCATATGGAACCATTGTTAGATAGTGTAGATTCAAATTTGTTCAAATCATGACCCCCCGGGGTAGGGTTGGGCCACAATGGACGATCAAAGTTTTACATGGGAATATATAGGAAAAATCTTCAAAAACCTTTTTCTCAAGAACAACAGAGCTATGATTGGTCATATTTATATGGAAGCATCCCCAGGTGGTGTAGATTCAAGTTTGTTCAAACCATAACCCCCGGGGGTAGGGTGGGGCCACAATGGATGATCAAAGTTTAACATAAGATATATAGGAAAAATCTTCAAAAATCTTCTCAAGAAAAGCAAAGCCATGATTAGTCATATTTATATGGAAGCATCCTCAGATAGTGTAGATTCAAGTCTGTTCAAATCAGTAACCCCTAGGGGTAGAAGGGGGCCACAATGAAAGTTCAAACTTGAAGAGAAAAGGTCACAGGTAGTAAAAAAAAATATGTAAGCATCCTTAGTTAGTGTAGATTCAATTTTGTTCAAGTCATACCCCAACCCCCACTCCCTTTTAGGGGTAGGTCAGGACCACATATGCATTTAAGATTTTCAATACTAAACTGATTTTTGCTTTTTTTCTAGCCACAGTGCTCAGGTGAACGATGTGGCCCCTGGGCCTCTTGCTTTTAAAAAAGCTAAGTTTTTGAAAGAATGAATACTTCTCAATTTTCAAAGTAAGAATTTTCATCATGAAAGGCAATTTTATTTTCCATGATTAAAAATATTTTTTTCTACATTCATCATCTTTTGCAAGGAATAAAAGAGATATCTTTGTTATTGATTTTCGATCAAAGTAGTAAAGATTTATTTTAAATTAATGTATCGAAAAAATAATAATAATAATAATAATAAGCATTCAAATGTCATATTAAATATATGTTTCCTAATAAATCAAAGTTTTTGACGCCTTACTGAAGTAAAGTAAGACTCAATTTGATAAACTATTTTCAACCTTAGTAATTTTTTAAGGAAAAAGCGTTTTTATACCGGTTTATTTTTTTTTTTAAAGTTTATAACAAGATTACGTGCGACTGTGGCTGCAATTGGAATACAGAGTTCTGTTTTATTTATTCCAGTGGGATCACATCCAAATATGGTGAGCTTAAAAATATTTCTTTGGGAACTTTTTTTGAATGATTTTGATTCGTTAGGGTTAATGTTCCTGGGTAACCAAATTTTACTGGTTCTTGGGGACGTAAAACATGGGTAGCTTTCTCTGTTCTTTACTTTATTAGCTAACAATTTAATGCCCTCCGTATAAAATTGCAGAATTTTCTGAAATTAGTGACTGACACTAAGAAGAGAGTGAAAGTAATTCAACATTGCGATTCTCAGCAGGTTGGGCGATTCTCAAAAAATATGGTGAGGATATTACCAGTGAAATTCAAAAGACAGAATAAATTACATATATATATATATATATATATATATATATATATATATATATATATATATATATATGTATGTATGTATGTATGTATGTATGTACATGTATGTATGTATGTATGTATGTACTAAACATATTGCATTGTCTTACTTTATAGAGCATTGCTGTGCGCCTATTAAAACACAAGTCTCCTGGGCAAGTTACTATCTGTGATATTAAGTCTTCTGCAGCTAGTGTAACAGAAAGAGATATCGTGAGGCAACAACCTCATTACACGTTTGATTTCATATTTTTAATGTAACTTAAATGTCATTTCATGATTACAGAATTTGGCTTGTGGATTGTAATTAAATTGAATTCTTTCACTGCTTTATGTCTGTGAATAATTTTAGATTCTTTTCTATAAATATCAGCACTATCGTCTAAAAACGGATTAAGAATAAAAGAACATTTTATTAGAAAGTCGAATTGCACTATCCCTAATTTAGGTAAAATTGCCAAAAGTAATAAAAATATCATTTATATTCAAAGATCTTAAGCTTTGGACTATTTACTTATCACATGTGTAGCCTGTATGCAATGTATTTATCTTTTTAGGTAACGCACTTTGAATTCAAACGTCAAATAAAAGGTATTTGATGAAGAATAATATACAAAACTTCGATTTTAATATATCAATTCCTTTGATATCTATCTATTCCCAGGAAGAAATTTTAGAACTTTTACAAAATGGTGATAAAACCTATTCAAACACCTCCGCTGAATCTGACAACGACGAAATGTTTGTGGAGCGCTATTCAGATATGCCTTCAATTGGTACCCGAGTCAAACGTGGACCTGACTGGGAATGGGGAAACATAGATGGCAGGGGTTCAGGAACAGTTGTAGGACATTCAAGAGGTGAATTGTATTAACATACATAGTAGAATACAATTCTGGAACTTTGAATTGAATGAATGAATTATATGTGTTTGTGTTTTGCATAGTTGGGTGGTTGTTTATTGAGTGGGACAATGGAAGAACCTGTAAATACAGATACAGCTTTGATGGAAAGATTGCAAAATATGATTTAATAGAATGTGATCATCCAAGAATTCTTTCACATCATCAGCAAATTGCCACTGGTTGTTTAGTTTCAAGAGGTATATATATATATATATATATATATATATATATATATATATATATATATATATATATATATATATATATATATATATATATATATATATATATATATATATATATATATATATATATATATATAAGTTATTCTATCTTATACTTACATTTTATATTTAATCTCAAAAGTAAACATTATCTACTTACTTAGTATTAAATATTTAAAGTAATTTAAAAAAAAAACAATGTTGATTATCCTTCATCATAATGTAAAGAACTGGGTACGTTACGTATAACAGAGCGGCCCTGTCTCCAAATTTGATTTCAGTTTTTTACAAACATGCTACGATGTGTCTTTTCAAAAACATTTTATCTTTTTTAATTATCACAAACCGTTTTTCTGTCAGACGTCTCGAAAAATGGGGAGTTTTCTTTAGAAATTACAAATTTTGACGTGATAACGTCATCACAGCGTTACTGATTTTAACGTTACGTTAAAAGAAATCTGTGAATTCTCTGAACCGGAAACTATTTACTTTAACCTGCCTTATGTTCCAGAAAACAATTTTGAACTTTTATTTCATTTCATAGTAATGTATCTTTGATAGCTGGAAGGAGTATAATAATTTAAAGGGAAATATAATTTTATAACAAACGATTTCATCAGACAAGTAATGAAGCTAAATTCATCCATACAGACGAGACAAGGTACATGTACTACTTCTTTTAAAATTGTGCTCGTATCAAATTTATCATTTCTTTATGTTAAAATGATTTCTTCAATCATTTTCCGCATTGTCTATGAAGTTACATTAAAATTTTTAAAGTTACATGAATCAATATTAAAAAGAAGATTGGAACGTCCCATATAAAGTACTCAAAATTGGATTTTTGGCAATGAAAAAGCCATCAACACCACTCCCCTTTTTAACAAGAAATGGCAGCGCTATTAATTTCTTATTTTCTTTTTTTTTTGGGGGGGGGGGGGATAAACGTATAAATTACTCACTATTACGGGGTTATGAGGTGTCTTAAACTGCGTTAAAGTTTTTTTTCTTTAATGTTAGGATTTCTTTTATAGATCGTTATTTATTCATTCCAGTGGATCCACTTTACTGCATGGTTCATGTAAAATACACTTTTTAGGTACCTACACACAATCACTTTCTATGTTAAAACCACAAGATGAGACCGGTTATAAGAGTCCTGATTGATGAGGCCATTCCAAGTTTTTTCTTTGTTTAGCGTCCATCCGAAATTCGAAAACCTACCGGTATCTTCCTATCCGAGAAAACACACAAACCAAAAGGGGAAAAACGCAGCATTTTCAGAACAGTCCTAGACTTTCTTATTATCATTTGAGACCTCTCCTCGCCATAAAACTTGGTTAAACTACTAGTTTATTGAAATAAAAATATTAATACACCACTTAAAAAAGAGAGATGTCAATCCCAAAAGAGTAAAATGCATTTCAGAGATTCGTATGTGTTGATTTGAGTTAACTTTGTGTTTCAAAGCTTGTATTTATCAATTTTAATTTGTGTTTGTTTTTAATTTCATAACCTCAAAACCTATTCGTCTGCGTTCACTACACATAGAAAAAAAAAAACAACTTGGAATGGCTTATCATAACTTGCGTTACAGACCTTGAAAAATTTTGCTTCAAATAAAAAACTGTGAATCTCCGAAGGCTTAAGAAAAAGGGTGTGCGATTTGTTTAGATCCACTTTTCGATGAACAAAATATTTTATATAGCCAATGCTAATAATTTAATTTTAGAGACAAACACAGTACGTTGCATGTACATAATCATTATTTGATTAACAAAATCGAAAATTATATGCCTAAATCTGTGTAGTGAATTCGACAAGAAATGCACACGAATTCTCGGGACATTATTCTAACGGACATTATTCCCTAAAACTAAAAGTTATAAAAATAAGGATATAATATTATGTGTATGATTTACATATAGAGTTTTTCCACGTCAGCTATGAAAATATGCGCATGTCGTCTTAAAAGCAATGCAGCATGAAAAGGCAGACACTTGCATTGATATCGATCAGTAAAAGATCGATCAACGGTCACCGTCGAGTTGGGAGCCAAAGGAAATTTGAAAGGCATGTATTTAGTTTTAAACCAAATTCTTGATATAATTTTTTTTATTGGTACTCATTACAGTACATGTATAACTTGATTATCAGTAACCCCCCCCCCCCCCCCCACACACACACACACTTCTATTTTCATAGAGACAAAATACAAATAATCCAAATGCAGAATAACAGAACACTCACATAGAAGAATCAAAATTCACTTTTACGTCCCTTTTTATAAGCTACATAGAGATTTTATTTCTAGTTCAGTTATCAAATTATACGAAATCTGATGTTATTTTGTTACTTGTGGGAACAATACGCAAAACACGTCACATTGCTTCTTTATAGAGTTATCCTTGCCATTCCCGGATTATAATACTAGCTTGATTATGTTTCATTTCCATGTTAGTGTCTGATAAAAAAAATCTTTAAAAACATACCTAACAAACTGCTGACATGAATTGCGAGACGATCCATCTAGTCATCTACTGAGAAAAAAACTGCATTAAAATAGATACAGATTTTCTAGGTCCTTGTTTGCTCTGCTCCTATTTTGTATTGTTTAATTAATGGACTTTTGAGCTTGAATTCTGCTCGTTATCTCCATATATTTCATCTTTAGAACTCCTCCCTATGTTTACATGTTACACAACCGTAGGTAAGATATTTGATATATTTCGGTGACAATAGTAATTTTATCACTTTCTTTAGATACATTAACTCTCTGGGGCATTTCCTTCGCAATTCTGTGCATTTATCCTTGTAGTAACGATAAAATACTTTTTATTTGTTTTTTTCTGGAACGGATTATCATCATAGACGGACGTTGAATCTTTAAAATTTAGCGATAATGTACACGGCCGTTTTCACGGAGGTGATATTGGACAGGACGCTCCTCCAGCCCCGATGAACATCTATTGGAATACTAAACATCGTTCCTATATGAAATATATTACTATTATTTCAGGGATAATCTGGATAAAATCCTTTTAAAAATACTCGCTTTCTTCAAGATTAACAATAGTGTACATGTAGTTAATATGTACATTCGTTTTTCATACAGATAAATATCTATAGAGTAATTTTTTTCTTCTTTTTTTTCATTTCAAGAATTGGAATGCGTTAAAAATGTATTAGGAAAACAATTTCTGGGAAAAAAAATTAACGAGTTAAATCATCGATTATGGAGCGGAAAGGGGGGTGTCTTGTCCACAAGTAATGCAAGATCGTGTTTGTATTTCTTACAGAACTGGGAACAGATAATCTTTTTTTATAGACAATAAAAAAGGTTGATTGTATCATGTTTCACTTAAATGTTCGTAGAAAATGCCAAAAGAGTACACCACTGTATACCTTTTATAAGTCTTATAAACTTGGTCAACATAATTATCTAAAATTCCTTGTAAATTATAAATTAAACCCGATTTTACTTGAAAACACTGATGTCAATATTCAGATCAGCATGATAAATGTATATATAATTAATAAGTGTAAATACATCTAAGAACTTTTCCATTCCCAGCTGCTGACCTTCAATAAGTAGATGTAGGTCGGCACTGGCAGATTTAGAAGTGTTTAGTAATATATAAAACACTTCCTGATTCTGCGATAGAACACTAGAATCCTTTCTGACATAATTAATTTTGTCAACTAAAAATCTGCAACAATACAGTGACAAGGATAACAAGTTTTGAAAAGAAATGTTCAAATGGTGACTGCAAAACGCCAAGCTTCCCATTCACCTCCCCCTTTCCCCGCCCCAATCATTAGCTATTGTCTTTTGACATTCATGAATCCCAGACATATATAAATTGTAAACGAATAAAACATACTTAAGAAAGCTGATGATTTTCAAAAATAAAAAATGTTAAAAATAATCTTTTCTTAAAGTCAAATAAAGTCAATGTCCACTATGAAGGAGACGCGCGTTTTAATTGGAGGTACATGTAGTGTTAAGGTATTCAATGTATAATGAAGGGATTATGAACAATTTTAAATCATTTTAAACTAGTTAAAAATGCATTGCTAGATAACGATGAAAGTGAAATGAACCAAATTCACATGACTGATAACATATAAGAAACTGGTCATTTTGCACTTTAAAGGTTTTTGAGAGTTATCTGCCCTTGATGCAAAGAAGAAAATTTTAATTTCGCCAAAATATCTGCGGTAATTGATTAATTTTATTTCATATTTTAATAAAGAGAGAGTGTATGCATATTTTCACCAAGAGCTTTTTATGAAATTCAAATTACTTTTGACAATATCTTAATAACACATGCATTGTCCATAGACTTCAATATAAAATTCAAGGTGCAATTAATTTGACAATAATCAATTTTTTGTAATTTTCTTTGGTGGAGTATTTTTATTTCACAAAACCTTCAAAATGATACCATAATTACAAATATAGGACCGTTCATTTATTAGATACAAAATATGGTCGTTATACATTGAATACCTTAAATGTAAATTGATTGTCTGAACCATCCCAACTTAATGTCGTTAAATTACTTTTTCACGCTGTAAATATTGATTGAATATTTATCATAGTTGCGAAGACTGAAGAATTTGTTTCAAGTACATATTTTCAACATGATTGCTCTTTGTGACGTCATTTTTTTCAATACATTGCGTCACTAATTTGTACATGTAATGTCCCATAGTAAATTTCACTGAGAAAGGTTCATATGGTTTTCATTTGCATAAATAATTGTATTAAATTAATTTTTTCCAGAATTGATTTAAAAGACAATAAAAATAATTAATCCTTCAGATATAGAATTAAACAACTAATTTCTTTAAAAATATAGATTTTATTGTGGAGAAAAGGTGACGTCTATCCAAAAATGCAGCATTTTTTACTTCAATTTTTTGTAAAAACGGATGTGGCCGCACGTTTGTAAGGTTATTTTTTCTCTTTAATATTAAAAATCGTAGTGTATTTGTTCTTTCTGCAAAGTTTCGCATACATACTCGGATGCGGCCATATCGAAATATAGACTTGAAGAGGAGGAAAAAGTCCAAAATGGGGGAATTCCGGAATATTAGACCGGTTTTGAACGTTATATAAATGAAAGGGCACGTGAGTTGAGAAAATTTTATTCATATTTCACACACAGGGAAACCTTAACAGTAAATTGATACAATTGATAGAATGTAATCGTGCGTTTAATTTTTGCCGATTTTACAGGGCCGTAAATCGGTCTTAACGTACCCAGCTCTTATCACACTTTCCATGCAATTATTTATTTTGGTAGATTATTTTTATTTCTTAAAAACAAAAAAGGACAGAGTGTTATATGACTCATAATAACTGTGTAAGTCACTCACAAGTCTTGTATGTAAGCAATTAAGGAGAGAAGGAGTACATAAAATACATTAAAAATAGTTCTTTTCATCATAAATAAAATCATATCATTTTATGACGTTAATTGTACCCATGCCGTTTTTGTATCTTATTAAAAAAAGGACCAGACTGGAAATGGGATAACCAAGATGGCGGAGAAGAAAACATTGGAACAGTTTACAGAGTGCAACAAACAACCCCCGTTGTTTACGTACGATCTACATTCATTTTATATTTTATTTTTTTTTTCTTATAGAAGTGCAGTTAATGTTTTATTATTATAAATACTAGGAAATAAATGTGCTTAACTATTTTAACTCAAAGGTAAAATGGCCACACGGAGTGAAGAGTAATTATAGATTTGGATATCAGAATAAGTTCGACGTCAGAGTGCGGTAATACATATTGAAAGACATATTAATGTCATTTTTTTCAATTAATAGATATTTGTGTTATCAAACTATCTTAAAATACACACACTGAACATTTCAGTGACCCGTTAAATCCAGCAGTAATCGAAAGAATGTGTTTTTAACGTAGTGCATATTTTATAAAGTATAATCAACTTGAACAAAACCAACAGACTCCGAATCAGTCATCAATGCCTTTTACAGAGGAGGGTAATTTTTTTTCTTGTTATTCAAGTTTAATTAAATATTTAAGTAATTTGGGGGGGGGGGGCTTATTATGTTATGAGCAGTGGATTTTCGACATTAAATTCTTTTCTTTTAATCGCTTCGTTGGAAGTCAAAGACAAGACAGCAAGTTAAGTAAAAAAGAATAATATAATGAAAGAAAAGAAAAACAAATAATCATACATCTCTTTCAGCAATAAAAAACACATATGTATATGAAATAGGCGCTCACCTAGGATATTTTCTTTTTAAAAGGGTTTTTTGTAGAACAAAACGCTCTAATTCCTGGTTTAAAATTCTTAAAAAACATGACAATTTTCCATATAGTAAACAGATGTATATTTATTCATCAGGCCGTGACGGAGACTCCCTGACAAACTGTAAAAGACAATGGCAGTGGAGAGACCCTACTGGACGGTGGATTAATTATAGTGATGAGATAAATGAGCAAATAGAAACTTGTTACAGGAGGAACAGAGATTCAACAGTAGTAATTCAATTTAAAGGACATTTGTAAGTTTTTTTCTCTTGACAAGAAATACTATACAAAAGCTATAGCTATTTGGCAATATCTTTCACGAAAATAGTTTTTTTTTCAAAGTAACAAACACTATATTATATTATTGCTGCATGTTGTTGTGGAAAACATTGAAAAATTTCACCACAAGAAAACCACTGACAATGGTTTTCTTGGCGTGAAAATTTTTTATGTTACTCTCAACTACATGCAGTATGTATTATAGTATACTGAACGTTTTTTTTTTTTTACAAATACAATAAAGTCGCATAAAAAAGCATAGATTCCGCGCAGTCAATATTTACCCGTCGGCAAGCAATGTTGACTGTTGCTAAATTCTATCGAGCTAGAGGGCGTGGTGGCATAATTCAGAGGGCGTTTTCAAATAAATGTTTCTCGACGAATCAAATTCAAGTTACTTACATGAAAGTCTAAAATCATATTATACTATACTTTGGTATTGTGTACTCTAGTTAACGGAAAGTACACTATCAATTCTAAAATCTACAATGTATGAAATAAACTGCACATACTAGTATATACTGTAAAAGTATTACATTTGGTTTTGTATTCTATTAAGCACCTTCCTGACCGTTCACGGTAGCTCAGTCAGTAGAGCGCTCGCTCCGTGATCGGGAGGTCGTGAGTTCGAATCTCGGCCGCGACAGACCTAAGTCGATAAAAAAAAAATAGGTAGCAACTGTTCCTTCGCCATGCGCTCGGCACTTTGAAGTGAAAGTTGCAGGTCCTTCAGATGAGACCTTAAAAACCGAGGCCCCGTGTCACGCCAGGCGTTGGCACGATAAAGATCCCTCACTGCTCAACGGCCTTGAGTGCCGAGTAAAGGTCAAAATTTGAAGCCCTTCACCGGTATAAGGTGACGTCTCTATATGAGTGAAAAATTCTCGAATGGGACGTAAAACAACATACAATCAATCAATCATTAAGCACCTTCCGCGGAAGGGAGCTTCCGCTACATTGAAACTTAGATCTTCTATGAAACCTCAGCATGTTTTTAGACTTTATGGTGTCAGATTACTTAAAAAAGTAAACTGAAAAATAATAGTTGAATAGAATTATAGCTTTGTCTTTTAGAATAGCAATAGAATTCGTTAATATTAAATGAGAAAAGGGAAAATGAATTTCATAGTGTAGGAATCCTAGAATATTTGAATATAATAAAAAAAATATTCACCGTGGAAAAACTTTGATTATTTTTTTTTTTCACATTTAGATTTACTACTAATTAACTACAATGTTGTATAGTATTTAACTTAGTAGATTGAGATTCGGTATTATAATTCTTTGTAATTTATAATTCTTTTGAAGTTAAATATTTGTTGGAAGATGTAGAGTTTGTGTATCTTCTTTTCTTTTCTTTTTTTTTTTTTTGTAGATGTAGAATCATATTGCAGCAACGAAAACATGTTGATACAATCACTAAACTAACAACAGATGTAAGAGTATGTACGGGAACATGGTCTTAAAAATTAATATGAGGTGAGGACAATTGTCAGACTGTTGACTGCTATGGATTACATAAATAGTGTATAATATTTCAAATGATCAAACGATATCTAATGATTGATATACTTCGTTTCAATCTACCATATTAATAAAAAAAAATGAAATAGTGTAATAAAACATGTTCTACCAAATAATGGAATATTGACTTGATATATGGAGTAACATGTACATAGATTTGTATTGTTTAATTTTTTGATATCGAACACTGTTCGTTATATTCACCTTTTCCATATTTGACGTAATTTTTTGCATTTTCCGGATATTTTGAAAATTGTATATTATTTACTGAAGATTGAAATCCAATTAGCTTCCATATTTCTACTAATCTTTTACTTCTTTAGAATGGTATTCTGAGATGTGAGATGAAAAGCATCCATGTATTTTTTTTCTTCAAAATTTGTTATATATATATATATATAGAGAGAGAGAGAGAGAGAGAGAGAGAGAGAGAGAGTATTCAATGTTTTGTAGATGAATATGGAATTAATACACGAGCGGGACCGGATTTTGGATATTTTCACCAGTGAGAAGCACGAGTGAAAATATCAAAAAATCCTGTCTCACGAGTGATAAACTTTGTTACACTCTGAAAAGCCTCAAGGCGAAAGCGGTAAGTGTAATAATTAAATGTGAACTTGTTTGTTCATCTTGGATTTAATTTATATATATATATATATATATATATATATATATATATATATATATATATATATATATATCTTTGTCTCTATGTATTTTTCTGTGTAAGACGTCAGAATAAAGTTCTTAATCTAGCAGGAAAAAATGTTTTTCTTAATTCCATATTGTTATTCAAAATTTGGACCAAATTGATAGTGGGAGCATCATGATGGGAGTCAAAGAAGATAAAGATGCATGGAAGTTATTGACTAAAAATCCCTCAATTATAAAGATTTAAAAAGCTGTTTCTCAATGAACAGTTTGAATAATAATAAGTTTTTTTATTGTAATTTTCGTTGTTTCCGGAACGTATCGCATTTTAAACACTGATACTTTCATTTGCATCCACTTTACCCTTTAAACGTACAATTCAAAACAAACGGAGTTAACTAAAGGGTAGCCGAAGAAAGTTACTACGAGAGGATACTCTCACAATATTGTATTTTGTATTAAGGTGCAGTTCCATACACAACTGATTTCCAAATGTAAAAAATATATAAGTGGCGTTCGAGCCAATATAAAAGACACACTTTCAATAAATTTTGATAGCAAATGGCACTACATGTACCTGAAAAATATTTGAAGTTTCTTTTTTTAATTAACATTTAAACTCCACAAAATAATCTTCCTAATCTAAAGCCAAAATATTAACTCTTTTATCAACTTCCTATTTGGAAAAATTGAATCAAAACATTAATTTAGTTTTCACAAAAAATCCATTCCAAAGAATACATTTATTAATAATAACAGATAATTTGTTAGATAAATTGCACTTGTGATCAGTGTGTACTGGTTTTATCTGACAAAGCATGTAACAACATAGTCTTTGTTTGTAAGAATCATTATTGCAATTCTATTTTAGAAGAGGTTGAATTTAATTTTTAATTATACGAGTGGTAATGCAACATCTACCCATAGTTTCCTACGTATGGAAGATATTCTTCAAAATATGTCAGTTTTAAGAATTTTTAATTTTTACAACAGTCAGATTGAATTTGATTATCGTTCCTGTACTGGGTTACATAAAAACACTTTCATCTTTGTATCATTAGATACACATCGGGAGCTAGTAAATAAACTACCAACTGAAGCCTTTTTCCTTATTCCCTACGAAAACATCATCAGAAGAGAGAACTTCAGCAGTACTGTGTACCAATATATTACAGAAGTGGTGAAAATCATAGGTGGATTTTAAATAATTTTTTTTTTTTTTTAAAACTTCAAATCAGGCCATCTTTTAAAAAAATTGTGTGGTTGCTCTCTCCCTACCGACTGGCTAAATATGGCCCGACTCAAAACCTTTCTTAACCTCCAGGAAGCAATTTTTTTTTATGTATTCTGGAAAATAGATTTTAAAAATTTAGCATTGAAATTGAAATTTTCTAAGAAAAAAAAATCTTCTCACCTACCTATCGACCCAATTCTTTTTTCATCCTGAGTCGGGAGAGGGCAAACAAACATTATTTTAAAGTTGGCCTCACAAAATTATACCAAAATTAATAGCATCAAAACGATGGCTTTCAACACTTCAATAACCATTACCCTCAATAAAATAGCGATTTTTGACATTTTACAAAACTTCTTCAATAAAAATGGAAATTGAAAATTTTCATAACTTCTGCGTAGTTAATTAAAAACCTACTTTGTTAAAAATCATTCTCATTCTATATACACGTACTTTAAAGCTGAAATCAAAAAGATGCTTGAGTTCCTTATTGACAAAATCTTTGTAGTCTTTGGATACCAGGTCTTCCAACAATCTGTTGGAATTCTCTAATTGTGTTCCTTTATTTACAGACTTGTTTTAATTTTTTTTATAAAGCAGAATTTATTTTTAAAAATCTATATGAAAAGAAGAAGTCTCTTGCTGTTTCTTTAATTCGACGCTTAGATATACCGACGACGTTTTATCAATTAACAATATTCATTTTCATGACTTCAATTTTTCTATTGTCATTTTCCATTATTTTTATAGCAACATACATGTACCACCATTACCTGCAAACGGTGTTTATATCCCCCGTTCATTTTTACACAAGAGA